CGAAAACGTGCAAAATCAGTGCGTGAATACGTTATTAACTCTTTCTACCTTTTTTCCTCCTTTTTTATATGCTTAGACGTATCTAAGAGCCAGGACCTCGAATGACTATTAGTGGATCCCAATTAATGACACACGAGGTCAAGGAGGGTATTGGAAGGGTTCTTCTCCCGGGAATCGGATTTTTAGGTGTCATTACGGCGCTGTTCCTGAGATACCTCTCTTATTATTGTTAGACAATATAATTAAAACATTTTCGATGGCTAAGGGTATAAGCGTTTTGCTGTTACCACTGTGCTGCCTCTCGGACCCTTTTTAGGCTTTTCATTTGAAATTTACCTGATTTTTGGCGCAAGAGGGAGGAGGGAGAAAGGCTTGAAATAAAAAACTGGCACCAATATTCTGATCCATGTCCATGCATGTTTACTGTAAACGCAAGTATGCACTTACCAGTGAAATGTATAACGTGGGAAATGATTTTTCCAGGCTGGGCTTAACACCAACTGGAATGCTCGTCTTTGATGGTAATCAAAAAATTGGACTATTTTTGTGGGAGAAAATCCAGAAGCTTGATTTCAAAAATCGCAAAATTACGCTTGTTGTTGAGGAAGACGCGGATCAGGCTGTAAGTGTTTGATTTCAATTTTGAAATTTAAAAAATCGTAATTTTTTGAAACCAGTTGCTTTTATTTTATTACCTTTTCGTGTATAGAATAACTCTATCCGGACCACATAGTTTCATAGTGTACCATGCTTTCGATGTATTTCAAAATTCATGTCTTCGTTGTTTTCTTAGTGACCCATTTTTTTCAAATATTTGCGAAAGCTTCTGAGGCTTTTCGCGTGCATTTGAGCTTCCTTTAGGCTTTTCCAGCGTGTGGTTGCTTCTGGCTTCTAAAAGCCTTGCCAGCGTTTGGTTGATTTTGGTAGAGTGTTTTCATTTCTGATTGCCTGTTCCACTCACAGGCGAAAATTCGACTTAGTCCGTTCTGGTAAATTTTTTGCCCTATTATTTTTCCAGGCTGCTAAAATCTAGTTGTACGTTTTATGTCCGAAATGTTTCAGAGTGGACAAGTGCAGCTGCATACATTTGTATTCAATCTTTCTTCCCACAAGGCTTGCAAGCATTTATGGAAATGCGCCATCGAGCATCACACATTCTTTCGGCTCAAATATCATAAGCCAAAAAGTAACAAAGCATCGCAATTATTCCGCTTGGGTAGCACCTTCCGTTATAGGTACATTTGTTGCTTCTTACTTCAGTACTTTTTTCTTATTATTTCTCAGCAATATTCTTAGTATCATCGAAATCCAAATAGCTTTGATGGCCTCGCTGCTTGCTAATGAGTATAAATGAAACAAGCCAGAACGTTGCTTGAAAAATTTTTTTCTAGGAGGAACATACACTCTTATTGAACTAGGAGAGTTGTTTTGACGCAATCAGCGATGTTATGAGATTTACAGTTCTGCAATTGAAAATTATCATGCACAATTTCACTGGACAAAATTCCAAACGTCAATGTATTTGAGAGGCAGAGGCACTCGAATAGTCCGAGTGGTTGCAAATGCCAGCAGCAACTGCGTACCAGTAGCGCTCTCTGTTGCTTACAAGCAAGTTGATGGCGGGTTTGACTCTCTGACATACACCTATACCAGCATACGGAATCATACAGAAATTGGTACCTCAGCGGCGGAGTCGAACTGTTAATCTGCTGCACGATAACAGTGCTACTTCCTATTACACTATGTCAGCCTGTAGTTTCACTGATTTTGGTGAAATACTTGAAGAAAAAAAATTATAGGTGAATTAATAGTTTCGCCCATTGCTACGCAATCATACTGATGACATTCACTGTCGTGCTTAAATTTATCTCATAAGTTATGTTATCTGCTAAGCGAATAAAGCCTTGCCAAATGTTTCTATCACAAGAATCGTTTTGAGCTAGTAATTCACTCAGACAACGTAACAACGCCAAAACTGCTAAAACGATTGTCGGTGGCGTCGCATTTGTTAAAGTAGCTGAAAAAGCTGCAAGCTTTATATGTTGTGAACGCAGCCCTTTCTCGAAAATTGCCCTGAATCGGAAAGGAGACAAACCACTCCTCCTCGTATCCGGACACAACGCGTTACCACTACACCATTGGTCTTTGTAGACCAGGTTCAGCCTGGTAGCACATCTACTGTGTATCTGCCTTTCAAGGCAAAATACATTTTTCTTTTCTCCTCTGCCTCCCATAGGCAGTCTTCATCTCTTTTTTTGCGACGGTTTTTTGTACGGCTTTTTACGGGTTTTCCCTCGGCAGTATATAGTTAGAGAATCTGCCTACGAATTAGCGCTATTCCATGCATTTCAATTACCCGTTAAAAATTTTACTTGAACGAAGCTTTAAGCAGAGGCCGAACTGAATACGAAAATGTGCATAGAGACAGTGGAAGGCTTTCGCGCCGGCAATCAGCAACATTCGAACGACGGCCTTCGCAGAGGTATGGCCCGCGGCAAAGCCTGGTGAACAAAAGGATACAAATACGGAATGATATTAAACAGCAGGTTTTTATCATTGACTTTAATTACATTTGTTTTATCATTATCATATCATTATTGAACTGTAAGTCGATAAGGCACCTCAGCGAGATACGAATATGTAACATTCGGATCGAAGCGGTAATGCTCAACACGTTAAGGAGAATTCGAATCGGATGGAGCCTTGCAATGTACCGCTAATGCTGTCCGGAAAACCGATGAACTGATAATCTGCTCAGGAGTTGAAATGGATTTTGGGTTCGTCGATAAGTTGACTACCACATCGAGAGGTCCAGACAGCTTTTCCAGACGGCCCCATTGGTGTTAAAGTAACACTACACATGAAATTATCTGGGCAATCATATATTAATGATATTCCGCAGAACCTAGAAAATAATATTTTCTTCAATTATTTTACGGAAATTATCTCATTTTAAATCACCACTTTTTAGGCCTAAAACACGCTCCCGTATTCTGCTTTTTAAGATATCTGAAGATATCGGGATGTGCCTTAATCCGTGTCAAGCATTCATTGGTAGACCAATGTCAAGCGTTCTTTTTCCGAATAATGTTTTGCATGTTAAAAAAGTCTTGCATGCCAAAAAGAAAAGGTCTAGGTGCCTTTTAGTCTTCTAGCGCATTGGTTTCTTAGCAGCAGCCGTGAAGAACCAGTCAAACAGGATTTGAAAGTGAGACTATACTGACAGACGAGTCAAAATTCTTAGCTTATTTTAGCCGAGTAAAACCGTGCCTTGCAGCACTTATACTCTGAAATGCTTTTTTAGGTTTGCGCATCCGCAGGGCTATCGATTCCTGACGCTGGAGCTCAAGCCGAAACATCACGTATATTTTCCGAGTAAGTTTTTATAAATTTTTCCAGGATTTTGAAAATCTAAGAAATCACTCGCTACTTTTTGAAGTTCATGATGTCTTTTTCTTTTGTGAACCCAATTGTACTGCTTATTTGTCTATTTATTTGCTTGTTTGTTTATTAAGTTATTTTTTTTTGCTAAGTTTTCAGCTAATTTACCACTTGGTGAGTAGCTATAGATGAAAGTGAAGTAAAATAAATGAATCCATATGCGGGGATAATAATAATAATAATAATAATAATAATAATAATAATAAT